TTCTGCTGATTTTCAACCAATTAATTTATTGTGGGCATAATTGACATGATGATTATTTTTTTTATTTACTATTAACCCAATGGGCTTTAAATCCACTTAATTAACATATTGGTGACAATTTTAAGTACTTGGAGTTATTGTGTACCAATTTATGTATCATGAGCTGAATTTTCATTGCAATTACTCTTGATTATTTCGAGTTACTATTGACCCAACGAACGTCAATTTGGCTTAATTGACAGTTTGGTGATTCTTGATTACTTTGAGCTAATATCGAACCAATTGCGTTCTTATGAGCTAAATTTGAATTATGATTACCCTTTAAAATGGTTTGAGCTGCTATTGACCCAGTATTTTGATTACTTTGAGTCATTATACACCCTATTTAATAATTATTAGCTGTATTGATGATTTGATTAGTTTTTCAATTCCTTATAGTTACTTTCGAGTTTCTTTATACTTCGATTACCCCGGACACCAGAGGGCAGCGTCGGACCAGAAGTCCTTCCAGTGAGCCTTTCTTGTCCGACGGCTCCCTTTGGTGTCTGCGATACTTCTGAGGTATACAATCTTTGATTCGGATATTAACCCTTTAACCACTCAACCCGAGCTGTACTCGCCATGGAAGGTTGTACCAATATCACCGATGACAACTCACACTCGTCCAGCCAAAATTATGGTTTGCTTTCCCTGCCAAACACGAGACAGGTTCGTCCATCGGCTTTAGTTTCAATTTTCAACACTGGAGGGCAGGAGAGGTCGCGCAAATATTGCGTGTTTTGGCCTTTGGTACGTATCTAGCCTTGCAACAGTGATCAGAGATGGCAGCGCGCTTGAGTGATGCCGGTGACGGCCCTCGGTAACGGGCTCTCTCTTCCTGGCAGTTCGAACAGTAGCGATGATGAAGACATCAAATTTGTCTCTGAAAGTGAGTCGAACATGACGATGACCTCAGTGACGAATTAGACGACGCGCTGGGTAGTGTTCGAGTGTGGCAATGCGTAAACGCTGAAGACCCGCCAGCCGCGCCTCCGAGGTTTCCCTTTTGTGCAGTGCCTGGGATTCTGTGGCAACCCACTGACTAAAAAGACATTCTCAGCTGGTTCAAGGTTGTTTTTTTTGACTCGGACCTTCCCAACTTCATTGTGACATAGACAGTTCGCTATGTGGTTCTGCATTTCCCAGTGTGGGGTTCTTGATGGAAACCGGTGGACCGCGAAGAGATGATGGTGTTACTTGCGCTAATAATTCTGCGAGGAATCGTTACTTACGGAACTTTGTTAGCGCTACTACTTGGACGTCTAGGCACTTGATCTTTTGTTATGGTGCGTATTTTCAAATAAATACTGCGCATTTCAGCATGTGTTATTCTCACTCTTACACGCACTGAGGGAAAGCTTCCATGTATATCAACATTTTCTTTTTAAAATTTTTTTGTTAGTACCTATTAGAAACTAATCAAGTAATGTAATTGCAAAATCAGAACCACATAAGAAAAAATATGTGCAAATAAAAAAATTTGGGAAAGTTTCTAAATTTTTTTCAAAGATTACTTGGTGGTTAAAGGGTTAATAGAAAATATGTAGAGCCCTTTCACTTCACGTGAAGATTTCCATCTTCACGTGAAGTTAAAGGGCTCTACATTTTTTCTATTAATATCCAAATTGTTTAGGAAGTATCGCGGACAGCGAAGCTATTTAGCAACGTCTAGGACGACGCCTAGAGGACGACGTCTAGGACGACCTCAATGACGACTTCTAGGACAACCTCGAACATCGCCTATAGGACGACATTTAGGACGACCTCGAGGACAATGTCTAGGATGACTTCTTGGACGACCTCAAGGACGACGCCTGGAGGACGATGTCTAGGACGACCTTAAGGACGACTTCTGGAACAACCTCAAGGACGACGCCTAAAGGATGACGTCTAGCACGACCTCAAGGACGACATCTATTATGATCTCAAGGACGACCTCGAGGACGACACGTAGAACGATTTTAAAAATGGCGTCTAGGACGACCTTGAGGACGACGTTTAGGACAACCTCAGGGACGACGTCTAAGACGACCTCTAAAACCTCAAGGACGACATCTAGGCCGACGTCTAAGACGACATCCAGGACAATTTTAAGGACAACCTCAAGAACGACTTCTAAAACAACCTTGAGGACAACACCTAGAGGACGTCGTCCTCGAGGTTGTTTTAGAAGTTGCCCTTGAGGTCGTCCTCGAGGTTGTCCTAGACGTCCTTGAGGTCGTCTTAGACGTCGTCCTTGAGGTTGTCCTAGACATCGTTGTTGAGATCGTCCGAGAGGTTGTCCTCGAGGTCGTACTAAACGCATCCTTGAGGCCGTCTTACACGTCGTCCTCAAGGTCGTCCTAGGAGTTGTCCTTGAGGTCGTCCCCCAGTCATTGTTTCTGAGGCCGTCCTAAACGTCGTCCTCTAGGCGTCGTCCTCGAGGTCTTCCTGGAAGTCGTCCTTGAGGTCGTCCTAGACGTCGTCCTTTAGGCGTCATCCTTGAGGAAGTTCCAGAAGACAATAAGTGCATATACATATTGTGGATTAAACCTACTGACCCCGGGATTAAATTGGGTAGCGCAAGGATTAAATTATTTGGCGCTTGGATTAAATTGGGTGCCACTTGGATTAAATGTTTCGTCGCTTGGATTAAAATGAGCGGGAAAACCTGTAGTAACCGGCACTGTGTAGCTTTATTCACATTATAAAAGTGTAATTTATTTAGTTAATGTTTTATTTTTTTTATATTACTGAGCTATGTTTAAGTTAGCGAAAATTGGGGCCCAGGTTTATGTTGTGAAAGGTGTCACGTTCCAGTGACGATTATTACGGGTGGAAGAAAAGAAGGGAACGAGCGCGTTCCAAAAAACGGCGAGTGCAAGAAGAGAAGCATTGGTAAAAAAAAGCCAGGGTCGGACCACGACGCACGGTGACGACCAGAGCTCCGAGGGAGGACCAGCTGCAATGGTCGGCGACTGCTGCTACGAATAACTCCAGGGGGAGTGCAAGACACCGGCTTCTGCATCGTCACATCAAGCGACGATGCTCCGCAAGTCGCCAAGGGGAAAGACTTGGACTTAAGGCACGGACGGTAGTGGGAAAGGGGCTATGAGTGGGGCCGGGTTGCCTAACCAAGTGGAACCGGCCGTGATAATGACGAATCGCATGCCCGGAAGGGCGGAGCGATAACTCTACCGGTGCTCTTTCTTGTTTAGTTTCAGTTCAACGCCATTTATCAAAGTGACATTTCTCGACCCCGTAGCGCCTACTAGGATTTTTTTTATCCAAATTGGACGACACAGCTAGACCATACTGTGGACGATCTTCAATCCTGTAAATGCAAAATTCAAGTAAAAAATTAAAAAAGTTAATTAAAACATTTTAGTTAATTAGCTTACTAATTACCTAATTTCACCTTTTTTCTAGAGGCTGCCATAGCGCTCAAATTACTCTATCTCACGTTTCCTTTTGAAAATTTGGTGCAGCTAAAAAAACACCATATATATACATATATATATATATATATATATATATATATATGGGCGGTTTCATTTGGATGCAGGCAACGAGCTGCAGTCATATTTTTTATTTTGCCCCAAATTTTTATATTTCGTGGCACATGTACTAAGAAGAACAATCCTTGACATGTTTCGTTTCTGAGAAAAAAAATCTCGAAGAGGTGGAAAAGGACAATTTTTGACAATTGTCTTGTGTGACTTTTTTAAATCACTCGAAAGAGAACGTCTATATTTTTTTATTGTGATATATATATGCAAGTAGGTAAAACTGCATTATAACTACTACTATTCATTATTCGTTGCTGCAATTTTTGTAAAAAAATCCCCAAACATGCCTCCGCGAACAACTGTGACCTAAACTGCGGATTTTTTTTTTTTTTTAGTCGATTATGTTTTGTATTGCTTTTAAAATAATACCAAAATTGGGCAAAGTTTGTGTCTTTATCGTGTACGAGTACTGAGAAATAAATTAGGATACAGAGAAGGTTTTCACTTTTGTTCAATTTCAGCACGCTGTATAAAAAAAAATATACTAGTATTTTTTTTCTCGCGTTGCGTTTTGTTTTGCACCCTTCTTTTAGGCAGAATACATTTTGTTAGAGGTGCATGCACTAATTTTGAGTTTTAAGCCTCTAAATATGCTAAAAGAGAGCAAATGCCGATGGTAGGTTTATGGGTTAAATTGACGATTGTCGTGTGGCGTTTTTGAATCACTCAATCTCAAAGTATTCAAAAGAGAGCTTCTATATATCTTTACTGTTATAAATGTGCAAGTAGCTAAAACTAAATTCCAACTACTATTTATTATTCGTCGCTCCAATCTTTGTAAAAAATCTCCAAGCATGCCTCCGTGAACAACTGTGACCAAAACTGAGGATTTTGTATTAAGTCGACTATGCTTAATATCGCCTTTAAAATAATACCACCTGTAGAACCTTTCGTTGCCTTCCAAAATGAAGCAGAGTTTGTGGCTTTATCATGTACAAGTTCTGAGAAATAAATTATGAAACAGAGGAGGTTTTGACTTTTCGTTCAATTTCGGCACGCTGTATTCGTTCAATTTCACACGCGGTTGTGCGTGGTCAAATTATGTTAGATTTTCCCCTGAATGGGGTTCATGGTTGTCTGATGAGAAACTCCCTTCGTAGAATTAAAGCGATCCATATGCTGGTGTCTTTAGTGGGGATAATCTCTCAAGTGGGTTTCTGCGAACAGGACTGCTCAATATAACCGCACCTGCGTTATTGACGCCGTTGTGAAATTGAAGTACGACTTCCTATATCCTCGGCATTAGCACTAAAGTAGCGTGGCACATTTGTGAGGCTACGCAAAAATCTTAAAATCTCGGGGCATACGGTTGCAGTTGATGTCAAATATGTTGCTAAGTAAACTTCAACCTTTGAAGGATTTAGACTTCATTCAGTCCTTGACATGTGGATTTCACATAACCGAAACTGACTTCGGCAGATAAAAGAACAAGTTAACATTAATATAATTAAGACTAGCTTTTCTGTTCTAGTTGTGGAAGTAAAATAAATATTAATGATTAAAAAAAATAGTTTTGAAGTATTCAAATTTTACGAAACAAGACAATCCAATCCAGGATGTTAAGCGTTGTTGGCTTTTTTTGCAGGCTGTTTAAACAGAACGAGCGGGTTGGTACAATAGTTGGTTTGGATAATTAAACTTGAGGAAGAAAACGAGAAGGGACGGACAAACACAAACTTCTATCGCGGGCACAACTTTGTTGTGCCCGCGATATTCTTGAGCGTGCGTGTTGCCTTCCCTGCGGTTTGCGTAGGCTATTTCCATAGAACGTTTGAGCCTGGAGTGCGTTGAGAGTTCACAGCAAGCAGCTAGTGCCGCTGGTGCCCTGTGGGTTCCACCGAAGTCGTCCTCAGTTGTACCCCACCGAGGGCATCGCAGTGTCTGCGGCGCCGAGCAAGTACTGCGTCTTCAAGGGCGGTGCCCGTAAAGCCGACGGTGTCTCGTTATTCCAGTTTCTCAGGAACCGCAGACTAAGGAGTAAGTGGAGTCGGGTGATAGGTAGGCATTGCTCTGATGCCTCCGATTCCACCTTGGTGTGTTCCAGGCATTTCCCAGACAACTTGATGGATGACAAGGCCTAGCCCCGACTGAAAAAGGGTGCCTTTCCGGCGCTGCAACTCGAAGAAGCGCCAACAGCGAAACGCAGGAGGAGGAGAGCAGTGCGCAGTCGTACCGGTAAGTCGCCTTCAGTGATCGCGGATTGCCAGTCGAGCCAGTCCAAATTCTATACTTCCCGACGCAACGAGCTAATCCTGCGGTATCAAAAGCGCACCTACATGACGAAACTAATACCTAGAGAAGGGGAACAAGGGAGACAAAGGACAAACACTAATCTCCAACACGGCTAGGTGGCTGGTGTGCGACCTAAAAAATCCGCCTGGTCTTGGTAGCGAACCAGGGACCTCCCCGTTTCCAGTGGAGCGCTCTACCAACTGGCGTACATGGCGAACACAACACAATGTGTTCGCCGTGTGTCTGTACATGTACCATCATCACTGATGCAATCGTGTACAGGGGAGGCCCAATGGCTTTTGACGCTGGTTGATTGGTCTCATCACCTCGTAGCGTAGGTTGCTTCCGGACATAAGGAGAAACAAAGTATATTAGTGTCTGAAATTACCAGGATCGATCAAAAATGGAATCGACGCCTGCACGGAGCAATCTAAACTTTTCGTCAAAGGTGTATTTCACATGTCCGGTTTTTCGTGTAAAATTACCAAGGGTAGCTCCATTTTTGTAAAAAAAAAATGGGTAAAAAACTTGCCAGGTTCAACTGTGGGCGGCGACACAGACAACCGATTTGAATGGCGTTGTGTCGTCGGTAGGTGTTGACGACCAGCAAAAGAAAGCAGACGAAATCCGTTAACAGCAAGAACGCCGTTGTTATGCAACCACATTTTTTTTTACAACCCAGCTGTTAAGGGCTAGGTTCCCTGGATCGTGTCCGGTATGTCGACACAAACCTATGCGCCATCTATAAGCGACAGCGACAACCAGTCTGGTTGCCGCCGTCGTTTATAGATGGTGGCAACCTTTTCAGCTATCATAGAAGATTGGATAGTTGGGCGAGTTGGCGGGAATTCATTCTAGGAAACAGCGTGAAAAAAAGACTAGGACGAAGAAGAAACGCACATAACGAGCGCAGCGCACGTCATGTGTGTTTCTTTGGCCTCGTCTGTTTTGCGCGCTGTTTCCTACGCTCGTATCAGTTTCAGTTTGGACTCATGATAGATCAGCCGCGTGCCCTTTCTTCGGGGAAAAAAGATCGGGTGTTGAAGGAGCGGCGACGTACGCAGCAGCGCGAATAGGTTCGCAACTGCCGCGTGCGTTGAGCGCTTCAGATTCCTTTGCGAAAGAAGAGCAGGTCACTTGCCTGGAAAGCCACTGCCGAGAACAGAAGCTACAACTCTGCTGCTCTTCGTTCTTCACCAGAGTGGTAAGGCTGAAAGTGTTTAACTTCAAGTTTTGTTTTTATTGTCCTGTTTTATTTTTAAACTAAAAGTACACTACAAAGAGATTATCTTCATTTTAGTAAATCGCGGTCCTCATGAGTAGTCTCGATTGTCTCGATAAAGAGGCAGCGCCATCTATCAATACGTGTTCCAAATGCGCCCCGCCGCTCCACTCGGTTCTCTGCGTCGCAGCCTGCCGTTGACCCTTCAGACACCCTATACATGCTTGTGGGGACAATCAAGCAGCGAGGAATGCATCTCACGGTGTTTGCCACCTTTCTTAAGTTTTTCCTTGCCACTTTTTCCGCGTTTTCGGTTTTTATTTTTTTTCAAAATTCGGCGTGTTTTTTTTAAAATTTTATTTGAAGATTCAATTTTCAGTGTATATTTATGCCCACAAAAGTTTACCGTTTTTTTTTTCGGTGAATATGAAAGAAACACCATCGGACACAGATTAGATGATCCTTGTAACTGATATTTGTGATCCCTCAAAGAAAAACAATGTAAATACATAAAAAAAAAACAAAAAAAAACATTGATCCTGTATTTGGCATTTGTAAGCAAATGTAAAAAAAAACACAAAAAAAAACAGAGGTACAAACAAGTTAGTGCCCACAAAACATGAAACTTCACCTGTTCATCAGGATTATGTGATCTTGTCATAGTAAACACATATGTACTTTCCCAGGTTGTCCTCGTTGATCCATGTCATTCTTTCCTGTTAATGACCCTGGGCCTCGAGAGCACCCTCTCAACGTTAACACTGGACACTGGCACGCTGAGGAGATGAAGCGCTGCCTGATCCAAAATTGGCCAATCAACCAAATGTGACTACATACCAAAAGAGACACGGTGCGACGTTTTGAAGCACAACATATTTCGTATACTCGCTAAACTCCGGCTGCAGATCTTGCATGAAGCTAAAAACCTTATACTAGCCCTCACCCAAACTTTTTTTGGGGGAACCAGGAACTTGACGCACTAAGCCCGATCACAGAAAGGGCACAGATGCTCAGTGAAGGACAACCCAAGACCTCTTTTGTTGCATGTTGAACCTTGGAGGACGGCAATCACGAAGAGGTCACCCATTGTCGAACCTTGCAACGCCTTCCACCACCCACCCTCTCCCCGCCCATCTCGACGTGACCCTAAAAAAGTGGCCATTTTCGGTTAAAACAGAATTTTAGAGAATGGATTCGGCTTACTTTTATCGGTTTAAACCGAGAACGCGATTCTAAAAACTGACCTTTTTCGGTTAAAACCAAATTTCCGAAAATGAATTTGGCGTACTTTTAACGGTTTTTAACGGTTTAAACTGAAAACTCTGAACCCTACCGTAAAATCCCGAGAGATGACCCACCCCCGAAAGACAGCCCAATCCTATTTTTGGCTTGATTTGCTATATTTGTTTAAACACCAAAAGATAACTCACTCCTAGTGATAGTAGTGTTAGGATCAATGATGGCCTCGGCGTAAATGCAGTAGTTAGCTCTGGGGGGATATAAGCGACTGTTGCTGAGTGGGAGGTAGTCATCTTTCCTTCGTTGCCCCTCGCCACCTTAACAAGCTTGGAAGGGAAACGACCTCAAGATAGCAATGTTTTAAAACTTTTCTTGAGTTTACACCGAAAGTTAGCCTACTCCACATTTTCACCCGATTTTCTCTTGATGTTAGGTGGGCTATCTCTTGGGTTTCTATGGTAGGTATATTGAAATGCAGCATACGAAATGCTCTTTTCGTTTACATAAGTATGGTATAGTAGTCTAATAATATACTTCCTCAAATTTTATATATCGCTGAGAGAGTATAACACCAATAGATACATACTTTAAAAAAAATAATTAAGGGTTATATTTTGGAACATAAACAATAATATAAACAATAATTTTTTTTATTATCTATTTTGTGCATGTTGTGTATCTGTTGTACCACTTTGATACCTGTATGTGGCATGGTAGCTTTGTCAGGCGTTATTATGCGCCTTTTGTCCCTGCAGAACCCCTTCAGGATGACTAATAAAATAAAATTAATAAATTACAAAAGCTCTAATTTAACTCTCTGCACTAATTTTAGAATATCACGACCTCGGCTGCTACAAAAAAATGTCCGGCAAAGCAGATCAGACAAAAGAAAGAGAAAACTCAACTTTTTCTATGTCGAGTGCAGACGCCTCCGACACATGGTATTGGTGTGCAGAAGATGCACCGAATCTGAAGTGCCTGCAAGTCACTCGAAAAAACAGCACTATGTAGCCTAGATGCATGCTTTCTTAAAGGGGTACTCTGGCGATTTCTTCATGGTCCCCGATTTGCTTTAAATTTTGCTAAACTCGCCAAACAACATCGCCAAAATAGTATCCCAAATATTAGTTCAAAATAATTTTTTTTCACGAAGTTATTGAATCTACAATTTTGGTCCTCACCGTGTTTTTTAAACTGAAAGTCTCTACTGGCAACAACGAAAACGTGACGTCAGTGGAAGTGCAGGGGTTCACTCTTCGGGCTGTAGAATTTGTTTCCAACTGATTCGAAGCAGTTTCATGGTGTCAAATGAATGCTTTGGAGGCTCACTCCAGTCCCCGCACTCCAGCACGGAAGAAATAATTGGCATATTCTATTTTTTAGACTGCTCGCCCGGCTGCCAAGCTTGCCTTCCACTGACGTCACGGCACTGAAAAGTGTGGGTATATTTGAATGTTGGTTTTTGCATCATTTTCATTTGCCGATTTTGCAATAACTATTATGAATTTCGCAATAGTAAATAGCATACGGGGAAGGGTAAAGGCCAGGGAGTCAGAAAATATAGTTAGTTGAGGTAGCTCGAAAAATCGCCGGAGTACCCCTTTAAAGACAGAAGCCATGAGGAAATTGGCCAACTGACAATAGCAAGAGATGACTTCATGGGGGAGGAGCCGCGTCAAACAGGCTAGCCCTGGAGGCTCGACCAGTTTGCTCAATGTAACTGTCGATACCGCTCTGCGCTCGAACATCCGACTGAAGGATTTGAATGCAACTTCAGAAAAAAAGCTTACACAACCTCAGCATTCTTCAAACTCTTTAGGCAAGATTGGGGGGGGAAGGGGGGAAAGAGAGGAGAGGAGAGCAGAGGAGTGGAGGAGGAAGGGGGGGGTCGGGTCGGGTGAGGGGTCGTCGTCACAGTTGAATTGCTAGAAAGCGATAAACAGACAAAGTAGTAGTGTCCCCTGACCTATTCATTAACATGTATAAGTATTCATACTGCACTGAAGCCAATTGGCAGAAAATACCATTTTGATGACCAAGGCATTTGGGTACATGTTTGACCACTAACAGGTGATGTAATAAAAAAAGAGATAAAAAAAGGGCACTTTTTTTAGGAACATTTTTTTAATAATGTAGTTTTAAATCATTGGATAAAATTCAGTGATGATGGAATTTCGAATTTAATGTAAAATACAACGCAATTTCAAGTTAACCAAAAGTGCTGCCATTCGATACTACACAAATATAGTGTTGAGAAAGCTGTGGTATGATGCATCATGAGCTCTGAGGCCTCGAATATGTCATGAGAATATCTGAAGTTTGACATTTGTCACTGTATTTCGGCTGTGTGTAAAAAAACTGCCATATAAATGCAAAAATAGGTAGTAGATACCATACATAAAACAAAAGGAATGCCAGATGTTTCAGGTGTTTGTAATTTATGCTGACCAAAAGCTATCTACCTTGTCCGTGGTAGAGGTTACACTAACACGAAATAAAATAACTTCAACATTTTGGGTGCAGATTTTGTAAAGAAATATATGCTTGCAAAAGCAATATATGCTTTGTGAATTATGAAAGGTCACTTGTGACACGTGATGTACAAAGTGCATTGCAAAGATGTACTGGACAATTGTTGTATTAGTACCCAAAGTGCACAGGATGATAATTTCATTACTTTCAGGAATCTCCGAGTGACAGCGTTGCTCCAGGACTAGCTACTCTCGACCAGTGGGCAAGCTTGGCAGCTGGGCCAACTGATGTGAGTTCACACCAAATCACCATGACACCTTATACTTGTCACAAAGCAGGAGGAAAAATTATTAAAAATAAAGGTGTACTCCGAGATTAACTAAAATCACTAAAAGAACGGAATGTTTAGGTTAGACCGGTGACAGGCAATAGGTCCATTCCCAGTGTAGGAGCCAGAAAAAGAGGGGATGACATCCAGAGACTGCATAGTCTTTTCCAGGTGTGGATTCAAGGGGGAAGGGACGACGGGCGGCCGCCCCCCCTCCTTTTCCATGAGTGGACCCCCGGTGACATGAAAGAATGGGAGAATAGTATCCTTACAAATTTCGCCCCCCCCCCCCCCCCCCCGAAACGGAGCTCTGAATCTGTCCCTGGTCTTTTCTCCGTCGTTATGCGATACCTTAACACCACACATGCACATGCCTAAACAGGACACACGCTACCAGCAGGCACAGGCAAAACGGCCACAGCCCAAAGAAGAAAACAAATAAAAAATCCCAAGGACTCACGTGGCAGAGTGCACCCACGAGCAGAGCCCTGGCCAGCCCGGGTGCTTCCCTCCCCACTACTCCGCAAAATTTCGCTCATGTACCACCCGAAAAATTACTTTTCCAGAGAAAAACCTTCTCGGAAACTAACATTTCTAAACGTACAAACAGATGTCAGGGTTATCACCCACATGACAGAGCACTTCTCACACTCAACTGCCCCCGATGATATAGCCCAAAAGACTGAAGAGCGATAGATAAAAATAATTTTTGTGGTTCCTTACCAGTCTGAAAAATTCACACCTCTTTCCCACCCAAAACACAGTACCTCGTCGCATTGGGGTGGGGTGAAAAGGTGTGCTAAGGATTAAAAGATTGAACCACCCAAGCGGAGAACCAACGGCTGCGGACAGTGCGGTCAGTGCCAAGAAACAAAAAATAAATATCACCTAAATTCGTGACAATTGTATTCCATAAATTATCCTGTGCATGACCTTCAATTTAGAGAGCCACAAGCACTGTTTCTAGGAAGCACATTGTTGCACATCGAGTAATAAATTTTTCTGTGTTTGTGTCAATTAAGTGTAATGCAACTAATTCCCTTTTATTCGTGGGTAAACCTAATATCTTGAGGAGCCTGGAGGTGCAACTGCAACAACTTAGTTGATTTTTCCCTACCTCCCCGCCTTAATTTGTAGAGGAATAAAGAATTTTATCCTGACATAAAAAAAATCTATTTATGTCCCGCCGTCTGGATTCTAAACAATGAGATATTTCGTACTTCCAGGAATGTCGGGGTGAGGACATACTATCTCCAAATACTACTTCGAAGGATATACACTTGGTAAGTTGTGCCTCCACATTCATCACCTGTTGTGTTCCACTACAAGACGGAAGAATGATGAGGTTATTGAAATAGCATCATCATCTGTTCCAGAGGTGCGCAAACTGTTTAGGACTGCGACCCCAAAACCTGGGACAAAACACGCTTATTCAAGAGCACAGTCTGGTTTCGTTGACTTTACCCTCGGCTTTACCAGCCACTTTCCTTAGGGGACTGTTATTTTTGTGCTAGCTTTATGCATATTAATTTTTTTTCAGGAACTCTCCGAGGCCGCGTGACCTCGTACAATAGCCCGCGACCGTTTGAGGTGTCACAACACACACTTTGCGCGTCTCTGATCTGTATAATGGATGCTACGAAAGAAGCTCCCTCTTGAAAAGCGGGCAAAATGCATGGGCCAGGCAAGGGACATAGTTTTAAAGTAGCTCAGGACTATGGAACTTTCAAAAGGTTATTTCAATACATGTTGAAAAAATAAAGAAACAGACACAAGCATTTTCATTGAAAAGCAGCAGCTGACACCAAAAGAGTGAACACATGTGTTCACACACTTGCCCATTGCATTCTTGTCTTGATTCTTTTTGAGTGACACTACTCATAACTATGTGTAGTCATTGCTGTTTGCAAATACCAAATTTACTTGTGCAAGTAACACACTTGCATAATTAATTTACCTGCCATGTAAGCATAAAAAAAAATTCCCTTTCGTTATTCCTGCAAAGAACTTCTCATGAAAAATATGACTGCAATCAAGTGGTTACTACAAGAACATTACTGAAGAGCTGCCAATATAAACATTGTTTTGTCCCGCAGTAAAAATATTGCTTTCTGTGGAAACTTTGTGTGCTTGAGCACAAGCTTTTTTTTATCTTCGCATTTAGGTTGTTGTGGTGCCACGCACTGAGCGCACTACAAGCAAGCCACCACTAGATTCCACAGCCAGAAGACAAATGGGAACTGTAAGAGGTAAGCCCGAGTATCTTTCTGTTTGAACGTGAACAAGTTTAACAGAAGCCCCTCTGGTAGGGTTAAAGCCAGGAAAATTAAAAAGTCATCAACAAAAGACCTTAAGTTCCACGGTCCCAACATTTCGAAAACCGAATTGACTTCTTCAAGTGTGACCATTTTCAAATGTGAATGATTGCTTTCATATTTTGAATACTTCAAACATTACTAACTTTCTGGCACACCTATACTCTAACGAGCCAGCCATTCAGTTCACTGTGGAATGTGAAAAGGACGACACCTTGCTGTTTTTGAATGTGTTTATAAAGCGACAAAGAGAATATCTGAAGTTCACACCATACACCTTTTCATCTTAGCAGTTCCCTGACTGGCGCATAGTGTACTGCCACCATTAAATGGCTTCACTTCGGTCGGTTTTGGTTTTAGCGTACTCGTGGCTATTGTTCTGTGCTTTATTGGATACATTTAATTTTATAATATAAATATTATGTAGCAAAAGAACAATCAAACAGTGTCTGAGCTGCATTGAGAACTCCTAACCTTTTGCTTTTTGGAACACATGGCCGTGTGCTTCCTTCAACGTTGACAGCCTTGAACTGTCACAGCATTAGGAACAGTGTTTTCGTGCTTTAGGCATTTATGCAAAAATTCCCCGTACAAGAAACCAAATTACCAAATAAGAGTACGGAAAACCTAAAAATTTCCGCTATCACACACGTGTATGCTTATAACCGTCGGCATCCATTGAAACTTTTTTTTAGTTTGTTTAAAGGCCCGAAACATTGTGAACTCGCTGTAATTGTATTGTTGAAAGATTTAAAAGCACCAGATAAAAGGCCGAGATAAACATCCACTATTTAGTGTCTCTGCGAGTTTCTCTTGTGATTATCAAAACTGCTTTCATCTGCCTGGATGGCACAGCACAAACATTTAAGACTTTCCTGTGTCTTCTTTCTGTCACCTTCATTTCGAACACGAGGCAAGCGAGCCACAATCACTGAGCAGACGTTGCCTTCATAACCAGTGAACTATACTGAGCCCTCGTGGTGGTCTTGCCGTCAGCTTTCGACTCGACAACATCAGAGCTAGCTCTAATCTCAGCATCCTGGCGCACATATCCAATGCGCTGTGGCTGGATGTAAAGAGTGCGCCGTGACTGGATGTAAAGACAACTCTAGATAATGTTCAGATGATGATGTCCACTAATTGGAAAGCAGACATAAGTATTAAAAAAAAAGTTCACCAAAGAATGCCACCACCATAGAAGAAAACAAACCTGCTGCTCCTCGCATGTAAATAGCCTCCTCCCCCCTTCCCACCCCCCAAAAAAAAAAAAATAAAACAAGTCTGTTTTGAAACAGAGGGACCCTGAATCTTTAAGGCTTTGTTGGCGAGTGTTCTTATTTTTTTATCTTTGTGTTTATGAGTATGCAAATCTTTTATGAGCAACTCACCCAAAAAAATTTCTCATTCCAGCAACACAGACTGACATGCTGACAGAGCTCAAGGTTCTAGTCAGCCGTGGCACACAGACGGACTACATGCGGGCACCTTCGCCTGCCGCACTGGAGATCTGTCCGTTTGGCTTTGGATCAACATCATCTGTTCCATTTATCGATCCGGCATATCAGGTTCAGCCCACAGAGGAACTGCAGCCTCAAGTGGAACCTGAGCCAGCCACACTGGCAGAGATTGACTGGTTGTTCTGTGGAACAGAACAAGACATGGAGGTAGAGCTACCTTCGGAAACGAAACTGCCCTCAGAGCTGCCTGAAGATGACTTCCCCACTGAAGGAGATTGCTGCTTTGAAGCCGACCCTGCCTTTGAGGATGGTTTCCCCTCAGAGACAGACCCGCCCTCTGAAGGTTACCTTCTCTCCGAAGCTGACCCCCCTTCTGAAGCAGAGCCATACGATGCCGCAGATCGCACATACTACCCCTCGGACGAAGACAGCATTAACAGGTTCGCCTTGCTTGATATACTGCAGTGAAGCTCTAAATAATTTATTCCAAGTTATGTAATTTGCAAATTTTATCATAACTGTTTGGTTTACTCCATATGCTGTCTCAGTTATGGTGCTAATTGCTTTGGAATGCCACTTCCAATGTTTCACAATCTGACCACCAAGCTGCACTGGTTTGCACAGCATATAACTATAGTCCCCCCATTTTCCTGCCTCGGATATTTATCCATACATGGTGTTGCTTTATTTGAAATTGCAAATAGTCATTAGTTTTACAAGTAGTTTTAACATGATGTACAAAGCATTCAACATTATATGTTCCTTTTTTTCTTTTTAAACTCTCTAAAGGTGTGCAGGCAAAAGCACAGCTCCGACACTCGACAAGGAAAGGAAATATATAATCTACGAAGGATCCTTGTTTGTGCTGTTCAAGTTCTGTAGAGAGTGCCACTAGCCCTGCACAGCGGAACTGCACCCTGACGGCACTTGCTGACAGTGACCACAGGGAGCCAAGATGGACGTGTCAGGAAGTGGACGAGTGAGCCCAGTGTGTCGGGGAGGAATGTGGGAAGCCTTCTCTCCGCCGCAGTTCTCTTCAGTGGGGCAAGCCCTGTCGTAACACTGAGGATGCTGCAGCAGATTAACATTCAAGTCATCTCCGATCGCACCTACTACATATATCAAAAGCATTATCTTCTGCCTTCAATAGCCAGGGTAAGTCTCT